ATCTTTTGTTGCCACATCTTGAAGTTCGTGCCATTGAACTTCGGTGGCCTTTGGATCGTACTAGCGGGCACTAAAATCGGCCCAACTGCATTAGGCGTTTGGATGAAAGGCCCGTTGGAAGCCCAATGAGGAACGTGTTCGAATTACCGATGGGGTGACTCCCCGTGGTTTCGAGCCCGGGAATAGGTCGATGAGCCGACCCAAAGATCGGGCTCCGCATCGAGAATGATGTCATGGTGGCGGCCCCCACACTTGACCCAAAGGGCAGTGGTGAGGACGACACAACCAAGGCAACTGAAGAGGTTTCTATCGGGACTTCAGAACTCATTCTGTTGCCAGAGAAACCCGCGATGCCGAATCCGAACGGGTAATACTACCTTAAGATTGTTGAATGTTACAGCGGGAATAATAAAAATAAAATAATCCGAACTTATAAAACATTCGGATTTTACAACGAAAAATAAGAGAAAGAAAAATGGAGTCTTCAGAAACTCGAACGGGAACGGATACCGGGAAGAGCATGAATGGACATAACTGGAACACAAACGGGCAGAGGAAGAGCATGAGTAGCAACAGCGTAGAAGCGTTGGACGTAGAGCTGCGAGTCTCCGGAGCAGTTTCTGGAAATATAGGTTAGGAAAGCAGAGTCGTTGGAGTTTTCCTTAAGGTAGTATTGCCTGCCTCCCGCACTGGCAAACGTGAGCAATCTCCTCCCAGGATAAAACCGCAGCGTGCAAAGTCTAGAGCGGTAGAACGATGCACCAGCGAACGAGAACGACGGGAAGTTATCTCCAGAGAAGATGATCGGAAACGGGGATTAGTCGGAAAGCTTTAAGTTATGCAGAGAGAGATTTTTCGAGTGTGTGTTCTCTTCCTCGCCACGCCACGCCTTGACCCGACCCGATGCGCGCGCGCGTGTCGTGTCGTGACGTGCCGAGCAGGAAGGACGGCGGTGGCGGCGCACGAGGAGTCCTCTTCTTGTTCATTTCATAAGCTCAATTAAATGCCTAAGCTTAAATATGAGAATACGAAATGTTCAAAACCCGGTGTGAGACAAGGGTTTTTACTCTTCCCTCATATTCAACTTTGAGAAATAATTTCTCATTCACCCGAGCACCGTTTATGGCGTGTGATATGTCAAGACATTTGTCTTGCTTACGAGATTAAACGTCCATAATTATTTAAGAAAATAATTTTGTGGACCCTACCGAATTTATGTCCGAAATGTCCAATTTATCTAAAATTTCCAACATATTACACATCAAATTTAGGCAAAATTGGATTGATATCATCAACATAATTAGCATCCACATTTTTTCTTTTTCCTTTTGTGGAAGCTTGGTATAATTTGACCAAGTGTTTTGCCGTTCGACATTCATTAGCCCAATGTCCTTTTATGCCACATTCATAGCATTCACCACTTGGTTTTGGCTTTTCATGAGTTTTAGCTTGTGTTGGTTTGAATTTCCCTTTTGCCTTGGAGGATGATCCAATTGGATATTTATAGCCCCTATTCGGCCCTTTGTTGTGATTAGTTTAAAGTGTCCACGTGCATCACCTTGGTTAACATTTGATTCCGGTGCTGAACCACAATCAGGATGACCAAAATTTGTAGGGGTACAACCAGTAAGCCTCATGTTATGATTTTTCATTAAGAGCTCATTATTCTGCTCAGCAATAAGTAATACTGAGATTAACTCAGAATACTTTTTAAAGTCCCTTTCTCTGTATTGTTGCGTATTATCACATTTGACATATGCATGGTGGAAAAAGTTTTCTCCAACATGTCATGATCAGTGATATTATGTCTACATAATTTTAATGTGGACGTGACTTTGAAAATAACAGAATTATAGTCACAAACGGACTTAAAATCTTGGAATCTTAAATTGATCCATTCATATTGAGCTCTTAATAGTAGGACCTTTTGTTGATGTCCATATCTCTCTTGGAGTTTATCCCATAATTCCTTCGGATCTTCCACTAGTAAATATTCAGATTTTAAACTTTCATGAAGGTGGTAGCAAAGGAAAACTATGGCTTTTGCCTTTTGCTGAGATGATGATATATTATTTTTAGCAATTGTATTTTCAAGGCCATTAGCCTTAAGGTGAGCAAGTGCATCAATCCTCCATTCCAGGTACCTTTGACCGGATAAATCAAGAATGTCGAATTCTCTTTTGGTGATACTGGCCATGGAATAAAATACTCTATACAAAACAATGAATTTAAATTTATTATCGAGTAATATTTTTTTAATTAAATATTACTATAGAATAAAAATCAAAGAATAAAAAAACATGTTTTGTAATAATTATGGAGCATCCTAGATAAATAAAATACGTACACTTAAAAAAAATCCCATGACATGATCACATTAGCAGACCATAGACACCAAAGTAAGATAAAATGGAATTTAAAAAAAAACTCTATATGCTAGAAAACAAACAAACAAATCAGTAATTTATGTTATTGTTTATTACGGAGTATTTATAAATAAAAGATATAGAGTATATGATGTCTCATTAAGTACATGTGATATATACATTCATAATAAGACAAAAAAGATTCCATATTGAATATGGAGTTGCTGGCTAGTCCCAATTATATGTACTTAATGTTATCCTTATATTATTTGTCTTTTATTTTTCTCTACAATTAAACAATACACCATCCGATTTATATACTCTCTCCTCTTACAAATATACTCTGAATACTATTCATTAGGATTCATCCTATATCATCTTTACTTTCCAAACCAGGAAAAAAATATGCTGAGCAAAGGATGAAAGAAAAAATTATAAAGGTGAGATTATATATTTCTATCAAAAACGTGTACAAGAAGAATTCAAGAGTAGCAGAAAGGTAAGTTCATTATATCTTGATTTCAATAGTTTTTCTCTTATTTTTCAAGAATAGTTTAAAAGATATAATTAATTTTTTTAAATCTTAGCTACTCCATATTAAATTTTTTTTCTTCAAAAAATATGATTTTCTGCGATTCTGAGGAAACTTAATCCTTTTTTAATTTATCTAATTTTATTTTTATAACTATAAGTTTCTGATGTGAAGGATCCATACTTTGGGCAATCACAGAGCATACTTATCATAATTTTTAAGAAAATTTTTTATTTCTATGTAAAATCTAAAAAATATATACCTTCTGAGAAGAACAGGATTTTGAGCAAACTCGTGCTGATAATGTGTTGTAAAATGAGAGAAAAACTACTCAGAGATTAAGAGAATAGATATAATATATTTCTGATTTCTTCTCTCTATTAATTATTCAATCTTCTTCTTATTCTTCATGGTGATTACAATGCAGGGATTAGCCTCTATTTATAGTGGAGAGGCTTGGTATGAATACAAATACAAGTGGGAAGGACTGTACAAAATTAGTATTCATCAATTAGTATCTTAATATACTATTCTAGAAAGTATGCCTGATTAATTGAATAAATGAACAATCATTAATTTCATAACACTAATTACATATTTACGTTAATATAAAAAAAGTTTATAACTTATTCCTCATAACTAGGGTTTCCATCTGTAGTTGCATTCATGTAATGTTCGGAATTGAATTCGTACCCTGACTCTTGAGCTTGACGTCTTGCCAAGAGCCAATCTCGATTGCAAACAAGTTTTTCAAGAGATTCATCGCTAAGACAACATCGGTAGTAGGTTAGAATATTGTCGCCAGCACTGAATTCTTGTTCCACTGCTACGATTGATACCGGGACGGATAAAACTTGTCTTGCTAGCATTTCGAGACATGGGGACATGTGTTCGTTCCGCTTCCACCATCCGAGGACGTCAAACTCAACGTTGTCGTCGTCGTAATCGCATGGCACCCCTTGGTACATAGCAAGTTTGTTGTGTGAGCTTACAGTTGTATCACCTGAACTCGTCGAAGGCTGACCACGCTTCTCTTTTTTTGCAAGAAGCCCACTGACTATTCCTTTAAAACCTTTTTTTGATTGGGGGGGAGGAGGTGCTGTTTCTTCTTGTACATTACCGTATATCCCTTGAAATTCCTTAAATAAAACCTCAAAAAAAGTACTAGCATTATCCCTTTCTTTTGCGCATTTTATTAAATGCCTGTAGTAATAATTATTTTCATCTAAAAAACAAGTGTAGTAATAGTCAATTAGAATTTTAAAATTTTCAATCTTAAAGCGAGGATCACAAATAATAACTGATGGTGTAAATTATCGACCGGTATATCGTTTTAGCCCAACAAAACGATAAACTAGTCTAAAAAATACACCAAACTATAAACACGAGGATTTTGACGTGGAAACTCAAATCGGGAGAAAACCACGGGCCTTTTTTGGCGGTACCTTGCCAACGGGGGATTTTTATTAATATCGGGGGTGTGTACACGGTAAATAATTTAGGCGTAGAAGCCATTAATGGAAGCTTGAAGCTTCTTTGAAGAAATAAAATACAAAGGTACTCTAGAGAGAGAGAGAGAATAAATGGCAGGGAGGAGAGTGAAATTGGCCTCCCCAACAATTAGGGCAACCCTCCCTTTTATAGGAGAGGGTGAGAGCATCTACGGGGGAATATTCTCTCATTCCTCTATTTTATTAAACAGGCCCGGTTTTACTGTTCTTTGTAAATAATTGGGAAATATGGGCCGAGCCACGTATTATTTCCCATCAAGAAGTCCTCCACTTTTTTGAGTTGTGAGAATCATCAACTTAAAAAAGTGAACAAGTCCTCCGAGTGTGATCTTCAGTCTTCGTACTTTGAATTCTTGACCGGTAGATATTATTTCTAGTCCTCCGAGTCTTCATTAATTCTCTAATTTCTTGAATCAGAAGTTTTTTCCTGCAAAAAATAATTTGTACAACACATTTTTTTTGACCGGCCTATGCCGTGCTCAAAAAATTATTATGTTTACCGAGGAGCATAGTGTTAGATGATTAAGATTCGCGCGAATAATTATCGTAACGAGAGCGATGTCAGTTCGATAAAGCAACGATGCTTCGAAAAGTTATTTCGTCGAGGTCGGTGTTAATACGAGTCAAGCAAACGATGCGTGACGAAATTAGTATATCGATGACAATGACCTTAGTTAATAAGAATTGAATCTGATGCGGTAGCTTTGTTGAAGATCAGCGTTAGCCTGGCTGACTGATGTAAATATCTTCATGTCTCGCGGAGACCATCTTCGATCAAAGTGCCTCAGATTAAGGGCTTAAATGAATTGGGCGTCCCCGATGTGAGCTTTGCTCACTTTCTGCTGAAACCAATGTGCAATCGGTGTACCCAATTCGATTGGGCTCAGACTTATTAGAAAATATGTGTCAGACCGGTGTGAGACCAGTGTACCAGTTCGACTGGGTCACATATTTTCTTTATTATACTGAGCAAGACCGGTGTAGTAACCAGCGTGCCAGGCCAGGCCTGTGTCTCAGTCTTCCAATAAGATAATGCTGCTGGCCGGGCCAGATCAACATTGGAGAATTAACCATGTCGGATGGTTTCGAGCCCTCTCCAAGGCCCAAAATGCACTCTTCTTCCAGGGCCCCCTCTTCCGGGTGATTAAGTCTTTTAATGGCCCTTTGATATTTACTATCCCGGGAAGGCCTTAGCTCACCCCCCGTTCAAGTCTTCCCTGAGAAGGGGGAAATAGGATGCGCCACGGTGGACGATCCCTTTCTATTTCTTTTAATGGGCATCTTTTAGTCCCCAATCAATTTGACGGCACGGGCTGATTCCCCGATACCGGTCAAACCTCATGGGCCCGTGTAAGTACGGTTCGAAACTTCTTCCAGGTCCAGCCCTCTTGCAGGCATACCCTCTTCCGGGCCCCTCTTCCGGGTTTATTATTTTTTTATTTTATACTGAGCAAGACCGGTGTAGTAACCGGCGTGCCAGGTCCGGGCCTGTGTCTCAGTCTTCCTTTCCCATTTTTGTAACCGTATGGAACAAAAAAGGATGCAATTATTTGAAGGTGAACTTCATGCAATGATTTGTGGGACCAAAATAATGGCATGTCTTGTACTTTTCCCAATTGCCATGTGAATTCTTCGTCCACTCGATTTGGATGCTTTTAAAATCAAGTGCCCCCTTCTTCTCATTAATTAATGGTGGGCCCATATCTTTGTTAAGAATAAGGCATTCACGTGCTTGAATTTGTCTAGCATACTTTAACTCTTTGCTCTCACACTTTTCTTCTTTGGCAGTGAAATCCAGCTGGTGCTTATTGGCCAAGGGGAGAGGCACTAGGAAAAAGTTAATAACCTTTCCGTACCCCAATAAAGAGAACCCGGTGAGCTGAGTTTGCTCTCCTCTGCGCCGGTCCACTCCATCACGGAACTACAGGACGCCGACGAAGAGACGCCAACATCGACGAGCTCTTCACCGTCCCGAGCAGCACCTTCTTCATCATCTTCGTCTCAGGCCCAAACCCGCAACTGTTCCCCGCTCTCCCGGCGGCGCGTGAGCGGCACTCGCCCTAGCCGCGACCTTCTTCCTTGAATCTGAACAACCATTTATGGCCGCCCCAGGAGACTAGATAGTCTAGATCGGGAACCCGTCCATTCTGATTCTCCTGGTGTCTCTGAATTTCCACCTCAAATGCTTGATTTGGAGGACCCATTTGCCGTCCACGTAGAAATACGATATCGGGTCGTCGCCGGAGATCCAGCTCTCTATGCATATGTTTCAGTCCTTGCCGTGGTTATAGGCCTTGGCCCCAGGAATTTGTTCCCTAGTTTTGAAGTAGGCTTCTCTTTGGAGGTTTCCGGCGAGAAGGACGATTTTGCCGTTGACGACGTCAGCAATGTAGAATCCGGATCTGGGTTCCATTCTCAACCTGGATTTGGCTCTCTAAAGATCCCGGAAGATGTGGGCATTCTTGATTTTTCTGCCGCTGCGGATTTGAAGCCTTTTGGACCCCTGCTTTTTCCAAAAGATGAGGGGCGTGATGAGCGGCAGTGGCGGGTCTGAGAAACGACGGCGATGGATCTGAGCAGCGGCAGCGACGACGGATTTCAGCAGCGGTGACGGTAGGTTTGAGCAGCGGCGGCGGCGGCGAATCTGAGCAGCGGCAGCGACGGCGGATTAGAGCATTGACGGCGATGGCGGATCTGAGCAGCGGCAGCGACGGCGGATTTGAGCATCGATGGCAGCAATCAACTTCCTCTATTTGATAATGACTTTGGATTTTTACCGCGGCTATCCTCATCGGAGGTTGCGAGGGTGGATTGCAGCGGCGGTGGCTCTCGTCCCTGTGGCAAAATGGTGGCTTTGAGAGATCAAGGACATCTAGCACCATAGAACCGCGGTGGTGCTCCTCTGACCATTCTTCCTATTTTCTTCAAGATCTCTCCCTCTTGTTTTTTTTGCAAAATTCAAGAAAAGCTTCATACTCTCCTCTTTTTTTTTGTTTCTCACACCTTTGGCTGTGCAAGATGGCCGAACAAAGATGAAGCTTTTTGATCAGGTCCCACGGTCGGCGCCAAAATGATGGTGTAAATTATCGATCAGTATATCGTTTTAGCCCGACAAAACGATAAACTAGTCTAAAAAATACACCAAACTATAAACAGGAGGATTTTGACGTGGAAACTCAAATCGGGAGAAAACCACGGGCCTTTTTTGGCGGTACCTTGCCAATGGGGGATTTTTATTAATATCGGGGGTGTGTACACGGTACATAATTTAGGCGTAGAAGCCATTAATGGAATTGGCCTCCCCAACAATTAGGGCAACCCTCCCTTTTATAGGAGAGGGTGAGAGCATCTACGGAGGAATATTCTCTCATTCCTCTATTTTATTAAACAGGCCCGGTTTTACTGTTCTTTGTAAATAATTGGGAAATATGGGCTGAGCCACGTATTATTTCCCATCAATAACTATTTTATAAATATTAGTAATGTATAAAAAATAAGCACACCATTTATCTTTCATAGGAGAGACATAGAGGTACAAATCTGAATCAGCTAAACTTTCACGAAAACATGCTGTGTTTCTTTTTTTTTGCAGGTGGGCCGCAGCTTTAGCAGTTAGTGGACAGGAGTGGAGGAAGCCAATCAAAAAGATAATAATAATTTCGGTACAGGAACTGGTACCGGTACGCCAGTGTCCAAAAAATTTGGTACTGGAACCGGGTGGCGGTGCCAGTACCTGTTCCCTAGAACCGTGGTGACGGGCAGTAACGGTACGGGTAGCGGCGATACCGTCTCTGATAACGGTACAGAACCGGTACCGGGTCCACCCCTAATTGCCCACAAATGCCACAATCAAACCGGACCCTACCCATCCATAAGCCGTCAAATGACGGCATAAAGAATCCGTCAACCATTGAAATTACAGACTGCCCAATCTCCAGAAGCTTCTTTAAACCCCATCATAAACCCTACTCTACCATTACTTAACTGCTTCATAGGCGCATTTTCCCGATCGCAGTCTCTTCCCTGCAAAGCTTCATCAATCTCTGCTTCAAGCAAAACAAAATCATGCACAGGCTCTCTAGGCGATCTCTCTCCGCCGTGCTGCGCGCTGGTGCCTCGCGTCAACGGAATGACGCCGCTCTGAATTCATCAGCCCGCCTCCTCAATCAGCTGGTATTCATTTATCGGCTAGTATTCTGTACTTCCATTTTTTGTTTGGTAGCTCTTTTATTTTGGTTTAATGGAAAACTGAGGGTTTATTGGAAATGGGCGAAAGTGATACTGAACTGATGGAAACTAAATGAATCGTATAATTGTGTGTGTGTGTGTGTGTGTGTGTGTGTTTTGAGTGTAATCGGGATATTGATGTGAAATGGATGGAAATTTGGGCAGAATTATCTCAAAGGTATTGGATTTTGGCATGAATGCACCTGCTTGTTCGGAAACCGGAATACTTTTTGGGAAATTGATGAGCATATGATTGGATTTCAACAAAAATTGAATAGTTTTGATCTGATGATGCAGTTAGAAAGTTAATTGAATCTTCAATTGTGTTACTCCCTCCGTCCCCAATTTGATTACAAATTGTGGGTTACGGAGTAAAATTTTCTATTTTTTGAAATCATTTTATTTATAAATTGGTATATCAATAAGATATAAAAAACAAAAGTTATCGAGAGGAAAGAGAAAAAAAATGTAATCTATTTGGGGATGGAGGGAGTATTTTATTGTTTGCACCCTCTGCTTAATTCTCCCAACGAAAAATTAGGCCTATTCCAGTATATGCCAGGTGCCATTTCATAGTCAAATAGCAACGTTACTGACATTGAGTTATCCTGTCTGAATTTAGTTTATAGTTTCTTCTGCCATGTTATCTATTGTTGGCCGTTGCATAATTTTTCTAGTGATGAATAGGTTGGTGAGAATGGTCCCACAAGCAGATGTTATTCAGCCTTAGCTTTGGAAAGACACAGTAGCACAAGAACACTTAGTCCATACAATGCAAGTGCATCAATGCTTTTTGGAAGCAGGCATGAATCAACATCTGCAGCATCTGATACATCAGGAGCAGTGACTGAGAAGTATGAGTATCAGGCAGAGGTTAGCACCACCGAAAAAACATTCAAAATGCAGGAAAGATGGCAGAAATGTTGAGAATAACATGAGCTTCTTTTTCCCTCTATTGTGGCAGGTTAGCCGTCTGATGGATTTAATTGTTAACAGCTTGTACAGCAACAAAGAAGTGTTTCTACGGGAGCTAATCAGGCATGCCTTGTCCTCCATAACATCGTTCTATTCGTCTCTAGATTTTTAAAATCTTTCTGTAGTATCAACTTTTTAAAAGGAAAGCAGCATTTTGGGTATGTGCTGACCCTATTAGTCCATTTTTTGTCCTAAAGAAGTAATAGTAGTTCTAGGCTTTCGTGCACATGAGATGCCTAATGTGATAGTTTTTAATAAAAAATAAATATTGCATCATTAAAATGAGGGGCTTTCCTCTTTAATGTTGATTAATTACTGAACGTTATGCATTCCATAGTTTTCATTTGTTTGAGGTATACTTCCTCTTTGTGTAAAATAATTAAGAGATGGTCAGGGGAGAAATATTACGAGATTGTCCTAGATTTGATCTTCATCTTGAATCAACCTCATGTGTCTATTATTTTATTTTATCTTATCTTATTTTTTTCTAGCTGAAATGTAGACAGTAAAGCTTCCTAGTGATGCACTTAGGGAAATAGTGTTTTGCAACTTGCTAGTGTTAGTTTTCATAAAGTTCCATTAAATGTTTGTTTTGATATGAAAGGAATAGCACTACAGTTCATAAAAATTTGCTGCAAGTAGAAGAAATTCTAACAATTACTGTTTCAATGCAGCAACGCAAGTGATGCTCTGGATAAGCTAAGGTTTCTTGGTGTTACAGAGCCCGAGCTTTTAAAGGATGGAGTTGATCTTGATATCCGTATACAAACTGATAAAGAGAATGGCATAATTACAATCACGTAATCTTAACTCTCATTTCATACTATATTTCAATTTGTCTCCTTTTGCACTTTAGGAAGTCATCACTGTATATGTTGTATACAGAGACTCTGGAATTGGTATGACTCGTCAGGAAATTGTTGACTGCCTTGGTACTATAGCTCAAAGTGGAACAGCAAAGTTTTTGAAAGCTTTGAAGGTACCCTTGAACATTACCATTTGCTGATTGTACAATCATCTGTTATGATCACTTAACTAACTGCTAAGGAGACTTTTACTCTTTAATAGGATAGCAAGGATGCAGGAGCTGATAGTAACCTAATTGGGCAATTTGGTGTTGGATTCTATTCAGCTTTCCTTGTTTCTGAAAGGGTATATCTTTGTTTATATACTACGTATGACTTTAACTGGTCTTAAATTTTTGATGAAGCTCATTACTATTCATTTATGAAAACAGGTTGAAGTCTCAACTAAGAGCCCAAAATCAGACAAGCAGTATGTTTGGGAAGGAGAGGCTAATTCTAGCACCTATAGCATTCGAGAGGAGACTGATCCAACCAAACTTATTCCTCGAGGGACTCGCCTCACTTTATATCTAAAGGCTAGTTTATTGAATAGCTTCTCAGTTCTCACACATGTTATCAAATATTTGAGCCATTTCTTATGCATTTTTCATGCCTTTATGTTTTCAGAGAGATGACAAAGGCTATGCACATCCTGAAAGAATACAGAAGCTTGTACAAAACTATTCACAGTTTGTTTCTTTCCCTATATATACATGGCAAGAAAAGGGATATACTAAAGAGGTATTGTGCAATCTTTTCGTTGAATATTTGTTTTATTGTGTACTAGGGAATTCTTATAATACTACTTTCTCTTCCAATCTGGAAAATTAAAATAAATACTCAGGGTCCGTTTGGTACACGGAATTGGCAGAATTAGAATTGAATTGGAATTTAAATTCTACGGAATTGAATTGTATATAATTGAATTTTCCAATTCCAATTCATTTTTCGCACTACCAATTCCAAATCCACATATTCTTGTGCTACCAAACAGCATAAATGGAATTGAAGTCTCCAATTCCAAATTCCGTGTACTTAACGGAGTCTAAATGTTTTTTTCATTGTATGCTTTTATTTGACTATCCCTGGTGACTCTCTGCCACAGGTTGAAGTTGATGATGATCCTGCAGAGGGCAAGACTGATGGGCAAGATGAGCCGGCTGAGGTCATACAGCTAGTCTCTCATACCATATTCCTATAATCTTGTGCCATTATTTGGTTTTGACATTTCTGTTATGATATCATGCAATAGAAAAAGAAGAAAACCAAGAAGGTTGTGGAGAAATATTGGGATTGGGATCTTACTAATGAGACTCAACCAATATGGGTGAGATATATGTTTCCTCTTTTACTTCCGGTTCTTAATTTCTCTAATGTAATTAAGATCTATCTAGTCAAATGCATACTTTTCCATATCCATGCAGCTTAGAAATCCAAAGGAGGTTACTGCAGAAGAGTATAATGAGTTCTACAAGAAGACCTTCAATGAATATATGGAGCCTCTTGCATCTTCCCATTTTACGACTGAGGTATCCGATTTTGTAGAGTTTCATAAATTTGTAGTTGAGTTACACATGATATACTGGCATGCTTTTTAATTGAATTGCATTTGGATACTCGAATTCTACCATGCTTTGTGGAAATGTAAAGCACGGATCAGATCTAAGGCTTGATTGATTATATCATGCAAAGTTTAGAAATGGAGTTTTTCTGTCTAGTCCTCGGATAAATAATTAATTAGAAATGAAAGTTTACCCTGGGAAGATGCCAATATTTTCTGAATGAAAGATAAGAGAACAGAGATTATTGAAATGTTTTTCGAAAGCATATAACAATTTATTTCTAATTAAAAAAGAAAAGGATGCTTGCAGGAGATCAGGAATGCACATGCATGCATATGCCCATTTGAGAATGTTTGATGAGCTGATTAAAGCTCACACACTTGAACAAATGTGCTGGATTAGCATTTTTATTTCTTGAATTTGTAGCTATTCTTGTGAATTTCTTAGTCGATACTGTATGCTACTGTTTTTTGCGTGTAAATGTAGTAATGCAGGTTTTGAAATTCACCTTCTGCATCATAACCCTTTCTGTTTTTATTTTATTTTATAGGGAGAGGTAGAGTTCAGATCTGTCCTCTATGTGCCAGCAGCTTCTCCTGCGGGCAAAGATGACTTTATTAATGGCAAAACAAAAAATATAAGGCTTTATGTGAAGCGGGTGTTCATTTCAAGTGACTTTGATGGTGAACTGGTAAGAAAGCCCCCACCCCACCCCCACCCCCACCCAACAAAATGTTTTACCAATATGGAGCCATGTTACTACTTCAGTGTCGGTTGGTAACCAATTTATTGATCCGAATGTACCATTTCCTCTCTTGTATTTTACATGGAACAGTTCCCAAGATATCTGAGCTTTGTGAAAGGGGTGGTAGACTCAAATGATCTTCCGTTGAATGTCTCACGAGAAATCCTTCAAGAGAGTCGCATTGTGAGTATATTTTAGTCTAGATCTAAATCAAAATTTAGATATGCTTGAATTTTGTCAGATACAGTTCTTGAGTTATGATGTTCCATCTGTTTTCCTTGGCTAAGGTTCGCATAATGAGGAAACGTTTGGTTAGGAAAGCTTTTGAGATGATCCAAGGCATAGCCTTGAGTGATGACAAAAATGTAAGCTCCTTACACCGTAATGTTTTCCCAATAAACTCTCCATTCCTTACACCGTAATGTTTTCTTCTGTACATCAATTTCCTTTCTATTTTTCAAAGCTTCACTTCGATATCTCACTCCACTACTCACACTTTCTCATGCACAGGACTATGATGTGTTTTGGGAAAACTTTGGCAAGTACCTAAAAATAGGTTGCATTGATGATCGTGAGAACCACAAACGTCTTGCCCCATTGCTGAGATTTTTCTCTTCTCAAAGCGAGGAATATACAATCAGCCTTGATGAATATGTTGAGAACATGAAGCCAGATCAGAAGGGAATATTTTATATTGTTTCCGACAGTGTAGCAGTTGCAAAGAACACTCCCTTCTTGGAAAAGCTAGTTGAGAAAGATCTTGAAGTATGAGATTTGTGAAACACATTAAGTTGGTTTCTTTCCTGTTGATACCACGACTTGAATGCCATTTTTTCTCCTTTATGCAGGTCCTCTTCTTAGTTGATCCCATTGATGAACTTGCGATCCAGAATCTTAAGTCCTATAAGGAAAAAGAGTTTGTTGATATTAGCAAAGAAGATCTCCATCTTGGTTAGTTATCCAAATCCATCTATTAATGTTTAGAATTAAGTTACGGTATTACGTAGTAGTTGTTGGGAACTTAGGACTCTAAAAGGTTTCTGCAGTGAGAAATTTGTAAAAGTCAATATCCTCAGCTGTCTATGTCGATTTAGAGTGGGAAAGGTGCCCAGAGAGATTACATAGAGTGTGTGCCTTGTGATATTATTATATCTGTTGGGGAGTCTATTCTCTGCTATTGACATCTGGGAACTTCCAATTTCAAGGTGAAAAGAATGAAGATGAGGAGAAGGAGATGAAACAAGAGTTTGGTCCCACCTGTGATTGGATAAAGAAGCGGTTAGGCGAAAAAGTTGCTGGTGTAGAAATCTCAAACCGTTTAAGCTCATCTCCTTGTGTTCTAGTATCCGGAAAGTTTGGTTTGTCTGCCAACATGGAAAGGTCGTTTTTTTTCTTATTGTTTTGAAGTTGCATGTTACTTTTTGGGTTTTCCTGAAGTTGTTTTCTGATACATGTGATCCTTGCAGGCTGATGAAGGCCCAAAATGCTGGCGATACCTCTAGCTTTGCATTTATGAAAAGCAGGAGGGTCTTTGAGATAAATCCTAACCACCCTATCATCAGAACATTGAATGTGAGTTTGGTTGAATCATCAAGATAGTTTATGCCAATCCACTTTCCCATCTTTTTTGTATTTTGATAATGTCTCTACTTTATATGGTACAGGAGGCATCCAAAAACAGCCCCAATGATGAAGAAGCCCTGCGAGCAATTGATCTTTTGTACGACACGGCTTTGGTTTGCAGTGGTTTCACTGTGAGTATCACATCTTATTTCACTTGCATCGAAACTTGTGATATGTTTTTTCACAAACATCAATACACACACACACACACACACTTTGTGGTTAAGGAAAAAAAACTGGACATCAGACCGAAATACCGTCAGAAGTATGCACAATTATTTCAGAATAATGAATGTAGGGGCATACCAGTGTTTGTGCTCCCCATCCATTAAGCGTTCCAGATTTAACCAAACCATTCATAAATTTACAACAATTTTTCTGATTGCATTTCTCATCAATGCGAACACAGCCCGACAATCCAGCTGAGCTCGGAGGTAAGATCTATGGCATGATGAGCATGGCCCTATCGGGCAAATGGGGAGGAGAAGGAGCTTCGCCTGATTTCCACCAGTATTCATCGCCCCAAACACATAACATCATCCCGGACACAGTCGAGGCCGAGGTGGTGGAGCCCGCAGAAGCAGGAGGCCAAAAGTAAAGCTGAGAGTATGTGACAACTTTCAATGCTTGAAGTTGCCTCAATCCTAGTTAAGGATGTTATTTTGAACATTAAGATGCACGTTTTGATTGATGTTGGTGTGTGCTTTAAAGCAGTGTTTTGCAACATTTTATTGACCATTCTTAGAAGATGACTCGCATTTGCGGTATTTTTGGTAGTATTTAAAATCAACTACTACTTTCTATTGGTAAAAGAGATCATTAGCAGAACTACTAATTTATTTTATTTTTTTGGTTACAAATGATTTTGATATTGTTCAAAATTTAACGAGGAAAATCGAAATGAATTGTGTTAAAATTTAAAACTTTCAGAGGCAAAAAATGATGAACAAGAACTACTCATGCCCTCCACTTTAGATGGTTTTTTACGGTTTATAATAAAATACGGAGTATAATATAATATAGTATTTTAAAAATGCACTCTTTGCATTTTAAATTTATACTATTTGCACTTTAATTTTATGCGAAGACTAAGAAAATTGTTGAAAAGATGTTAATCTTATTTTTAATGTTCTCTACTTTGTTGTAGTGTACTCGGTATATGAGATTCAAGTTTGTTACCAATTAGGGAAGAAGATTAAAAGATGAGTAAAATATTGAAAATATATCAAAATATAAGTTTTATATTTTTATTCTTCAAATAGAGGTTAAATTGTATTTACATTACCAATCATGACCTTGTAAATTACCAAAAAAATATACTTCCTCCGTCCCAATTTATAATGTCTGTTCACTATTCACTTTTTTCTTTATTTTCGTTAGGAATTTGATAAAATAAAGTACTATTGTCACTACTAGTTTTGTAGATCTTTTGATGTAGTATTTTGATATGTAATTTTCATTTTTTTAACTCTATACGATTTGTCATATAAAATGATTTGAAAATAATTTCAGTCAAACATTGTAAACCGAAACATGCGTTATGAATTGGAACGGAGGAAGTATTAAAGTGCTCATTTACAGTGCACATTACTATAGTGTGAATGTTTATTTAAGGAATAAAAATATGAATATTTTATTTTGATATTTTCTCTATGTTTTGCTCTTATTTAAGGTGATTTTTTACCAATTACTCATGTAATGTTAACTTTATAAATTTTTAGGCTAAAATTCACCATTGGTTTTTTTAAATTTTATAAGTTGTACACGATTGATCCTTCAAGTTTTAATAGTTCATAAATATCTTTCAAGTATTCGTCAGTCTCTCTTTCTAACGATACATGTTAAAAGTTAAACGACTGATAAGAAATTTACCAAAACGTAGCTGAGTTCACTGATTACTCTTACCCTATAGCTAGTCCTCTTACCCTTCCGCCGCCATTAAAACTTAGCTGATCACATCAAAAAGCAGTGTAAATTACTATAGAAAGGAAAGTGAAGATGAAGTTAGTGAAAGAGAATCGCCAAGTAGTGAATATGTATAGCGAATTCTGAAGTTGAGCGTGAACGAAGAAACTTTTTTTGGTCATTTTTTATCAGCCGTTAAGTTTTTAACATGTACCATCAAAAGGGCTGTATCTGGAAAGCTGATGAATATTTGAAGGACTAATGGTAGACTTTAGCCGAAATTTCTATAATCAATTCTTTAGAACAAAATTTTTCATTCTTAGTCTTTTATTACCAAATATTATGTTTGTGGTCTTTTGTTATTGCTATCTTTTTCAATAGATCGTTTTTATCTTATGTTATATTGGTGTTAAATTGAGGGTTAAAAAAGTAATTTTACATTGACATTATGTCTAGTGATATATTCTGATGTCGGCTTGATGGACAATACAATAATAATACTCTCTCCGTCCCAAATTAAATTGCCTGTTTATTATTCATAGGGTCAAATTTTATTCACTTTCTTTCCTTATTTTTGTTAGTCATTTGATAAAATAGTATAATCATGTCACCACTATTTTTGCAGATCTTTTGATGTAATTTTTAAACGTATAATTTTTTTTAATTCTACATCGTTTTTCATATAAAATGATTTGAAAATAAACACAGACAAACTTCGTAAACCAAAACAAATGATTTAAATTGGGACGGATGAAGTATTAATTATGGTTGTGGACTAGGAGTTTGGACTAGAGACAACATTTGTAGAATATAGTTGCAGCAAACAATAGTTGACAAACTGCGCATCAATGAAAGAATTTTTTTTGAGATGGATAAAAAATGAAGAAAAATTGTGGGACAAAGGGGTATGATATTTCAAAGTTGACTTTTCAAAATAGATCTAATGATAATGAATTCTTCATATTACTAAATACTACGCATATTTTATCGGCAAGATTTAGCTACACTTTGTAAATTTTCATAAAATAAAGTTAAACAAGCTATTTAAATGAAACCAAAGAGTAAAATTCATATATTCCTCTATTTCATACTTCGTATTTAAGTTTTTATTTCTATTTATTTTACGAAAACTAAAATTTGTCATTGTGTCCAAGACTCCAAGAGTAAACTAAGAAGTGTGTAATTTCTATTCCTTTCAGATTCATAGAGTGAAGTAACATTGAAGTATTGAACCAAATTATTTTACTCATATTTCATAATATAGCCATGGCCCATGAGTGGTGATTAGTGCACTCAAATTCCACGCCTAATTCTTGGACCTTCTCACAAAAGTTGTTGAGCTTAAAAGCTTATGTGGAAAAATGTCTGTTTCACTCACGTTAATGTGCGTAATGCTAATCATAATCTTAATCGTAATCCTAATTCACGAATCTTAATCCCAATCATAATCCTAATCTCATAATTCTAATCCTCTAATTATAATCCCCTAATCCTAATCCCATAGTCCTAATCCCCTAATCCTAAATATAATCCCCTAATCCTATTACTAATATTAAAGAGTCCACATCAGAAAGGTTCATATAATTAGAATGAACATGATGACAATGGAAGTATTTGCCTATAGCCATTCATGATTGCTTTTTTCGCAAAAACAATAAGTACTCAATAACTCTTAAATTCCAAAAAAACACAATAAACTTAGTAAAATGTAACAAGAAAATAATATTCTTAAACTTCAACGTCAAACAAGTACACATTCGGTCATCCTTGAAAGTGTTTGGACACAACCTTCATGATTCAATACTAATACTAAAGAGTCTACATCAATAATGTTCATATAATTGAAATGAGCTTGGGGACCGTGGAAGTATTTGCCTATAGCCATTCATGATTATATTTTCGCAAGCTTGAGAGTATTTTGAGACAAGCTTTAATGATTCATTTAAAATGAAATTTTGCTCTAAAGATTGTTTTTGATAATGTAAATTAATTAGATCGGCATAATTATTCTTAACCGGATGAAGAGTAACGAGCTTAGCTTGATAAAAAAAACAGAAACACTCCATATTAGAGAAATGACACGAAAAAACAAGAATGAAAATACCCCCATTTACGATGTTTGACTAAAATTATTTTCAACTCAATGGAGTATAAAACTCATATATTTAAAAACTACATCAAAAGTTTTTGAAAACAAGAGGTGCCATGAAAATGCATCATGATAGCATAAAAATGCACCATTCTCACGATAGAGTCTATTCTCGCAGTAAGACCATTCTCACTTGAACCAACCCTATGTGTGTGTTATTTTATAAAATGACTAGTAAAAAAAGGTAAAAAAATAAATAAAATTTGACTATGTGAATAGTAAACATGATTTCAGAACAGAGGAAGTATTCGAATTACCAATACCGTAAAAAATGTTTTTTTTAACAAACCTCATATTCTCCAAACAAAGTGGTGGTTGTATGTCTTTTAACAATCCATTGGAGACACATTCTCAGCTAATGTCTTTATAATAAAGCTGAAGCAACGAAGTTCATTTTCTATAATAATGAATCAAAGATGTTACAACATGTCAACATTTGCCAAAACTAGTCCATAAATCTAAAGAAATTACTATTACAGTTACCTTGAAACAGATTACAGAGCCTGTCGCCTACAACATTCGTGACTTGTCAAGTCCGATTGTCCACATGTGTCTTAGCATTTCCTCATTCCCTGTGTTCAATCTGTACACATTGAATCTTAGTTCTTCATCCATACTCACCTTATGAGCTCGTTCTGTTTGGCAGTCTCATTTTCAATTCGAATGTCCCATACGTTTGGGAAATTGGGAGGTTCATTAAGGTTTTGCCGGAATCCGGGAGGTTCCATAAGGGTTTGCATGAAACTGGGAGGTTTGATAAGGGTTTGCCCAAAACCAGGAGGTTCAATAGCGGTTTGCCCAAAAATGAGCTGTTCAATAGGGGTTTGCTCGAAACGGGCAGGCTCAACGGGGGTTTGCCTGAAAGTGGTAGGTTCGATACGGGTTTGACCAAAACCGGGAGGGGGCATTTGTTCAAAAGCGGGAGGTTTCATAAAGGGTAGCCCGAAACCGGGAGCTTCCATAAGGGGCTGCCCGGAACTGGGAGGTTCAATGAGGGGTTGCCCGTAACCAGAAGGGTCCAAACTGGGTTGCCTGAAACCGGGAGGTTCAATAAGGGGTTGCTCGAAACCTGGAGGTTCACTAAGGGGCTTCCCGAAACCTGGAGGTTCAGCAAGGGTTTGCATGAATCCGGAAGGTTCAGTCACAGCTTGCATGAAATTGAGAGGCTCGGTAAGGGTGTGCGTGAAACCAGGAGGTTCAGCAAGGTTCTGCGCAAAACCAGGAGGTTCAGCAAGGCTCTGCGTGAAACTGGAAGGTTCAGTAAGGTTCTGCGTGAAACCAGGAGGTTCAGTAAGCTTCTGTGTGAAACCGGGAGGTTCAAAAAGGTGGTTCTGAGCTTGAACCTGATGCACTTCACTAATAGATTCATGAGACAAGCCCGAAAGAGCCGAGCTTTCCGGTTGCCCCCCAATCTTGCCTTGCTCTATATTGTTGTGTCTAGAAGGGCTTTCTGGTTGACCTCCTCTTTTGTCCTCTACCGTTCCCTGGAGAAGCTCATCTGGGGTTGCAGCAGGGTCGAGATCCCAGCAGCATCCATCAGCGGGCAGGTTATCAACACCTTTTTTCAGTAAACAAGAAGGAACCATATGCGAAAACCGCAACATCTCTGTTCTAGGAATCCATCGAACGCCTCCCTTCTCTGTGCTCCTTCCATAAACTGTCTTGAACCCATCCAACTTGATCAGTAGGCCCACATGCACCCCAAGTTCCTCAGAATAATCATCAAGAATCTCCACCATCTCATACTGGT